GCCACTTCTGCATGAGTTTGATCCCTGATTGGCCAGGGAGCTGAACCACATGGTGCAGCAGACCTCTCCTGAACTGCCCACTGCTCCCCTCAGCAGTGTATTTCAGTTGGTCTGCCTGTTCTGCTCCCCACTCTATCTCTGGTGAATCCTCTTACCACCCCTACACCTCTGGCCTATACCCCAGTTCTGTATACATAAATAAATCTTTTTTTAAAAAAAGAATTCAACATATACTTTGTAAGTTAGATAAGCTCACAGAATTATCCTCAAGAAGCGTATCTTATTGTGCTTGTTCTTTATGGATCATGATGCTTCATGTGACATAGCAGCCACTAACATTACTAATATAATCCAATGTTCACTGTAATGTTCTCCAGTGCACTTAGAGAAAAGGAAATTAGTGGGTTTTAGAAATCTGTCCCTCTATTTTTTTTTTACATGATATTTTCAGGACGTAATTTATATTAATATTTTTGAGTTGTTCTTATCACACATTAAAGACAAGCTGGTGAGCAGTGGGAGTTAAGAGAAACAAATTTCTGATGGGTAAAGTAGACAGGCTGGGACAGAGCGCTCTATCTCCAAAATGGCACATTCCTGAAATGCACCACCTCTAAGTCATTGTGTTAGGCTATAAGTCTTTTTAAAGAATCACTGTTGCAGAACACTAGTGTTCAGAGCACAGGTGGGATGCCAAAGGCCAAGTGGACCTCTTGGCAACCACTAGATCAACACAGAGCTTTAGAACCTCTTGCTCCCTGCTATGCTTCTCAAAATGTTGCATCTGAAATGCAGGCAGGAAAGGAAAACCCAAATGTCACTACTAACAGCTCTGGAAGGAACAAAAAGAATCTGCCTCCTACATCTCGCAGCCTCAGGAATGCCCCCACTTCAATCAACCCAAGTCAGAGTTCCTTACAGAAGGCACAGTGGAAGGTTGTGAGGTATAGGCTGTGTACCCGCAAGGTGGTCAGTGAGTTGCCCAAGGACTGTTTTCTCATGAAAAGAGGCTGGGCTAGAAGCTTCGTAATTCTGGAAATTCTATATTTGTCACCAGAAGATAATCTGACCTGAAGATATGACATGGTAAGAAATACGAAAAATTATTTTAATGGAAAGCTAAAAAGTTCTTCCTTCCACCTGCACTGTCACTCTACTGCCTCCTATAACACCTCCCTCCCAAGGATCTAGTGCAAGAAAGCAACCTGTCCCTGAGCCTGAAGCTCTGTCCTCCAAGTGGGTTCATGAGAGATTAATCCAATTTACTTTTCCTAAGTAATCTGCTCCGCAATGCCATTAAGGGCTAGCTTGGTGGCGGCAAAGGGGAGTGGGTGGTTGTCTCCTGACAAGACAGCTTCATAGAAAATCTCTCCGAAGACGCAGGTTTTCATGACAGTATCCACTGAAATGAACAATTAGATTGCTCTTCACTTGGGACAACTAACTGTTCCAACCAAAGTATATTTTTATACTGGTGCTTGCACCATTAAGAAACAACAGCATGAGCACTGCTTCAAGCCAACTCAAAATACTTCTGCGGGCAAACACTCCAGAATTTAGACCACAACACCCCCTATGAAAGACATTGTAGGTTGCCTCAGCACATTCCCTAGATAGTTCTGTCATCAATTCAAAGAATCACTGCTCCCCCCCAACCCCATCCTACAGAACAAATGCTGTGTTACCTTCTGCAAACAAATGCAACTTTGCTGTGGTTTTACTGTGCTTAATCTTATATCCCATCCTATGTTCTAGGTTCTAAATTGAAACTCTCTTGGTTAAATTTGCTTGATGTCAGAGAGCAACAATTCCCCCACCCTTCACCTTTTTCTTTCTTTCTTTTTTTTTTTTGACAGCAAAGCCCAGAGAAGCAAAGGCACTGCTTTATATTTGCATGGAGCTTTGTGATTTGCAAGCCACCCACACATCCATGATCTCAGCCACTCTCATAATAACCCAATGAGGTAAACCTGCCTCCACTCCCCCCCCCCACACTCAATAAAGGTATGCCCACCTCATGGCACTAGCATGGCAACGGCACACAGAGAGGGGTACTAGCTAGCTGCCATTAAACACAAAATAATATTTGGCTCATTTTAGTACTGAGAAACAGATTCATAGGTTAGAAGGTTGATCCCAGCAACTAGGCCTCTTAGGTATCTGGAGCAAGCTGGAAGGAGAAAGCCCAGGACAGGGTTCCTTCCATCAGCATATCAAATGTATGCCCTATTTGTTTAAAACTTGACAGCTTCGCATTTCCAAGAAAGGTTTAGCTATGCTGACAAGAAGGGGGCCTGGAGTCTGGATTCTGTTCCCAGTTCTCCACTAGTCACACACTCAGAGCTTTTGTTCTTTGGACCTTTGTGTTGCCTTCTCCATCATGAAGGCAGACTTACTATTTTTTTTTTAAAACCAAACAACAGAATGTCAAGCCCAGATGAAAGGCTCTATTACAAGTACAAAGTATCATTTAATTACACTGAAGCTCTAGTTATCTGCTTCCCAGCCCCTAACTCCCACTGGGTGGATTCTGAAACCACATAGGAGATTATGTCAAGAGAGGAGAACAGGAGAGACATTCTCTCCCTGAACTTTCTTAAATGGGAGAGAAAAGCAAAATGAAAAGAAAGACTCATTTTACAAGGAGGGGGCAGGAGCAACGATCTCTCCATGAAGCAGACCTGCATAAGAATCTATAGATTATTTAGTGCCGGGGGTGGTTGTGGTGTGCAATAAAGGAATCTTTGTGCAATGCCAGCCACGGTTCCCTCACTCCCCACAGCCAGGCATTTAACCCAACTCTCAATCACCAAGCTCTAATGCACCCCATCTGTGCACCAGTTGTAGCCAGTGAAACTAAAGCCTGTGCTGACTTTGGCCTGCACTTGTGAATGAGTTTTTCTGCCCCCAAAACGGGCAGGAGGGAGTACAGAAGGCCAGCAAAGTCTTTTTTTTGCTCATCGCTGTTTCTCCCAAGCCCCATCCATCTGTTTATTTCCTCGTGTACTGAACTCCTGCCAAAGACAGAAAGAGCGCTGAGAGGACAGGCCCCGGGCGGAAAAGGATGTACAGGAGCTCCCGTGGGAGAAGGGGCAGGTGAGGTGCAGGAGCTGCCCATGGTGAGGCACCGGAGCCTGAAATGCCTGCCCGCATGTTCGGGGGATGCTGTTTAGTTCTGAGTGGCTGGCAGGTAAAACAAGGAGCTGGAGACCTAACTCACAGCTGGGCTCTGCCACCCATCTGAGGCCTGGTGCAACAGGCTGCAAAGATACAGCATCAAATTTGATAGTCTTGGCATTTCCACATATTTGATTCTTCCCTTGTAAGGCCCAGCTCTAACAACTCCTCTTCCAGAAATCCCTGAGTAAACTCAAAGTAATTGTTCTCTGACATTTATGAGTCTCAACTTTTCCAACTACATTAAAATATAACCATCTGGAAAGCAGCTGAAAGCCTTCTGAGGGTTAAATGAGATAATATTTATAAAATATCAAGCAGCAGTTTTTAGTATATAGAAGGTGCTAAAATACATTTTTATCGGTATCTTGATTTCTAGGATACACAGTATTTGTTCCCTGTATTCCACTTTCTCTGGAGACTTCCAGAAATAGGACCACTCACATTTTTCCTCCAGCTGGCTGGCCCCCTCCCAAAGTAAGGAAGTCTGACTCTCGTGCTTCACTGATATAGCCTCCCCACTTCCAACCTTCTAAATGAAGGGTTCTCAAAAATTTCAAGAGGATTGAGACAAGACGTATTTGCTGATAGAGGAAGCTGTGTAGGCCTTTAAAAGCTGTAAGCTGCTAAAGCATCAACAGCACAAAGGACAATATTCAGCAGCACATAAAAAAAGGAAGTAGGCCAGAAGACAGAGCACTGACAGCGTGAAGGTTTAATTCTGTGGCAACCTTAGATCCTGGAATAGGTCTAGAAAGAATTCAGTCCTCAGTCCTAATTCGTGAAGCTACACTACATGGTTGTTCAGACAGCCTTCTTCAACTTCCTGTGAAGTCAGCAAGCTGGGAAGGACTGGCCTAGAACTATAGATACTTTATTCTGTCTTGAGGCTAGCAAATCAGATGCAAAGGAAGTGAAGCCTCCTTTTCTAGCAGTTCTTATAAACAGATCAAGAACACTAAACCTCTAAAACTGTGCCTACCCCTCCCCCAGCACCCAATTTTAGGGGAATAAGGTACAGACCCTAAGGAAGGATGCTTTTGATCGGGGAAAATCCCCTATGATGTCTTTTCCTTTTTCATATATTCTAGTAAAACCTGTTTCTCCTACCCATGGAAATGTAGGACTAATGTATAATGTTGCCTGAAGGGGCCAGTTCCTGAAATGCACTACTGGGGTATTGGGTTCATTATTTATTACACAGACCCAACCTGAAGAAATATTTGCCAACTCTCTTCAGGAAAAATAGGATTCCATTCTTTCTTCTGATTGTGCTGGAATATCACACCCATTACCTCACACAGAAGCCCTAAAGATCCCAACATCAATAGCTCAGCTCTTCATCAGACCTCCTGAAAGACTACCTACTTAGTCATTCAACAGTCTCACAAGCCTACCTGGGGGCTTTGCAGGCAGCTTCTCTCACCTCAGCCATTAAGTCCCGCTTACAAGATATCTAGGTTTCACCACTTTTGTTAGAATTTATGTTCCAAGCAGGCAACACTGCACAAAGTTCATCTGGCAACCTAAGCAAAGCAAGCTGAATTAAAGTCTCCAGTCTCTTCTTAGCCCCTATCGCCTCCAGTCCATAAACCACCAGCCCCCAAAGACCCACTGACAGGGATGGCACTAATTTCCAAAATAAATCAAACAAGTACATTTTCCCTTTAACTCAGAGTTATTCCTCAGTTGAATGAGTCAGCCATGAGGTCAGCCCTCCCTGTAGGGCTCTGTGAGAGCTTGGAAGCCTCTACGGCTTTAGGGGTAGGAAGAGTCCTCCCTGGATGTGAAGGAAGGCAAGGGAGCCTGCGGGAGACATGTACCTTGGAAATGAGTTCATCGTGATTGGCCAAATGGGCTCTGCAGTGAATGCAGCTGTAGGTCCGATGGCAGGAGGGCAGATAAGCCTGGAAAGTCTTGGATCTTGTCATCTTCACCATTGGCGCTGTTGAGCGTGGAGTGAACTCCGGGGTGGCCCACGAGGCACTCCCACAGGATGGATCGCACGGGAAACACCGGAACACACAAGTAAAGGCCGTGGTTTGGCAGGGGGTGGGTGTGGGACAGGCTCCACACACTGGTGATGTCTTCAGAGGAAGGACCCTCAAGTAGAGGTCTAGGGCTGGTTCTCAGCAGCCTGCAAGGCCAACATAAGAGGAACGCCATTAGCGAATGGAGCTGGGCTTTCTGATTAGAAGTAGAATCCAACTTTGAGTAAGAGAGGTTGACACCTACGGGATAAAGTGATCCCCTTCTGTTTCTTGCACTATGCAAAGATACCCAATGAATGAGAAAGAAGGATCACTGGAGATCTCACTGCTTTTCTAGATTCAATACCCACTCAGGGGTCTCAGCAGTTACCCCAGCAAACTGCCATGACCACCATTCCTAGGGGGGCCTTTGAAAAGGTCAGGATGTCAACAGCCACATATAGATTTCTCATCCAAATGGCATGAGTTCCCCAACATCTGAGATCATGACCCTCAGACGCAACATATCTCTTAACACTTTAGCAGGGTCCATCATGCTCGTCAGCTTTTTAAGGAGAGGTGATTTTCTTTGCAATACTTGCCCAGAAACAATTGCTCAGTACTTTTTTTTCTAAGCAAGTGAATGAGTGAAACCACTGAAATAATCAGACTCCTATATATACAATGACAGTAAATTTACCAGAATTCCTCCTCAAATCTCAAACTTTCCATTATTCATTCTACAGCAGGAAATCTCTCCTACCTAACTCTTTTATTCTACATGGAACCAAGGACCCAGAAGAGATGGTGGTACTCCCAGAATAAGTCCAAGTCCTAAGGGATAGCCAAAGGTCTCAGACTCACTCTGCTTCTTGGTAGCTTACTACCTGAGGCTTCTAGATCTGCCTATTCCCTAGGCTTCACCAACAGGGTGGTGTTCCCACTTGCCTACCTCCCAGGAGAGTCAGAGTGTTAATTAACGTCTGCGTCATGCTTTGAAGATAAAATTACTTAGAGAGACGGGGGAGGAAGACAAACAAAATCAGATCTTCCTTGCTGGATCATGTCTGGGACCCATTTGGATGTTTAGGAAAAGTCTGCAAATCACAATTCTCCTTTTTCCTCTAAACCACAATGGAACCAAACCTTCCAAAAGGAAGCTACTGTCTCATCCTTCCCATTACAGTAGTTACCAAGTACCACTATATCCCTGGAACTCTGTCTTCCTGAGTTGCTCACACCACCGGTCAGCACTAAACTGGACAACGTGATCACTACCCCAATTCTGCAGCCCCCTACGCAGGCCTGAGTGAAACAGACTTGCCACTCATGGTAACTAATCACACGTGAGGTGCCCAAATGTTGAAGGTACTCAGAGCCGTGAGGTCCCCGAACAAGGTCTTCCCTGTTGAACCTTCCACCACTATTTTTCTAAAGATGCTACCTGGGTAAACTGAACAAAAAAATACTTGATGTGACATGGAATTACTTCCCAGACTTTGCCTAGGTCTGGTCATATTCTGATAGTGGGTAGATGAACTGGTCAGAATGAAGGACCATGGTAGAACAGTGTAATTAGGGGTTTATGCATTAAAGGAAGTAGAAAAAGCCAAGTATCCCCCTTGGGATTTCTTGGAATACCTTTGAATTTCCCAATATTCCTGTCCTACTCTCAGGAATACCAGCATCTCCAGGGAAAGCAGGGGGTGGTATGTCAGGGTGAGGAAGAGGAAGGACAGGCAGGCGTGAGCAAGTGGCTCACGTAGCCTATTTGCTCCTGAAGCCCACAGCCGCAGACGCCCAGTGGGGAGCACAAGGGAACACTGGATGGGTCTTATACAAACACTGAGGGAAGAAAAGGCAACAATGAGCCCCGCTGCCAGTCTGGGTTTATAGAGCAGCCACAGTGTCTGTTTGCTTATCCATACAGATGGTTTCTAAATTATGCATTTCCCCAGAGTAAGATTATTTCTTCTCTCACTTCCCTTCTGTATGAAACCCCCCACAAAAAGTTCACAGACAGGGATTCTGGGTTATATTCAGCTTCAAATCTGAATCCCAAAGCTTATTCAAAGTTACTTTCTGAGGAATAAGTATTTGTAGTCTGTATTAAATGTAAGTATGTCACATACAGAGACATACCCATGCACACACCATCATTGGACACCATAGCAACCACAGCACTAAACTTAGAAAGACTAGAGAAAAACAGACCAGATAAGCAGTATTCCCGGTTGCCTGGGGCTACAACAGCCCCAGAGAGCCTAGGCAGCAGATGCTGGACTTTGCTGGTCCTCTTGCTTTTTAATATTTACTGGCATCCAAACTTGTACTTCTTCCCTGAGAAGAAAGGGATGAAAAAGTGGCTTGAATAAAATTTGAGTTTTATTCAACTGGTACAGGGAAAACTAGAAGGAATGAGAAGAGTAAATATAAAACAAGATGAAGCTGGGTCAAGAGAGGTTTCTTATGCCTGAGGAGAAAGAAGAGAATAAGCTGGGGGGGGGGGAGATGAAAGGTAGGGACTGTAAAATATCTTGTTTTAATCTGTTTCTGTCCTCTTCTATCTTAAGGGGAAATTCTAAAGACTGCTTCTTTGAAAAGAAGATAATATATATATATATATCTTTTTTTTTTTAAGGAAGAAATTAAACTATAGTGTGGCTACAGAACTCACTATATTTTAACTGTTAAACTTTGGTACTTACTAATGGGGCCACAGGCTCATGACTCTAACTTGTTGAACATATTGAGCAGTCCAAATTGATTTCTAACAATAATCAAAATAAGCTTGATATTTAAAAGCCTTAGGGCTCATGTACAAATTAAACACCATTGTAAGTGAAGGAATAATCCATCACAGTGGAAATTAAGGAAGAGTTAGCTACTGCCCCCAGTTCACTCCTGCTGATCAGCATGGAAAGAAAAGATGTGAACTATCCTGACTAAAAAGAGACTTTAGATATACCACTCTGAGAGCCAAATGCACAGGGAACACACACCAAACCCGCTGCCCCCTGACAGACAGGCTCATTCCATTAGCCACGACTGCAGCTGGAACAAGAAGTGGAATCTTCTAAATGTGCCCAGACAGGAGAGTTAGGAGGTAAAAATTTCTCAGGTAAAGCACAAAGGAACCCAAAGAAATGTGTGCAAAGCACGCTGTGCTGACACACGCCGAGGCAGCAACGAGGAGGCAGAGCTCACTGGGAAGAAACCGTCCAGGCGCGGACGTGTGTGTGGTGCTGGTTTTGTGGGATACAGGTAGGCAACGGCTAACCAGGAAAAGAAACAGACCTTGAGCCACCAACCAGTTCTCTTTCCTAGTGGGATGGCCACTGTAAGGTACTCAATCACTCTGATTTTCAGCTTCCCCAACCTTAACTACCAAGCTGCACAGCGGTTATGAGGATTAAGTGAGAAGATATACGTGCATCTACAAGACCAGTAGGCAACGCATACCAGAATTGTATCATTCTGTATCTATCATTCTTTTTTGTGGTCATGATAAAAGATGTTGGTGTTTTTTGTTTTATTTTTTTTAAAGATTTATTTATTTGTACATACAGAACTGGGATACAGACCAGAGGCTCAGGAGCGGCGAGAGGCTTCACCAGAGACAGAGTGGGGAGCAAAACAGGCAAATCGACAAAGTACACTGCTGAGGGGAGCAGTGGGCAGGTCAGGAGAGGTCTGCCACGCCATGTGGTCACCTCCGGGGCAGGCGGGAATCAAACTCATGCAGAAGTGGCTTTAGCTTCTCAGTGCAGTGCTTTAACCTGCTGCGCCACCAGAGAGGGCCAAGATGTTGGTGTTTTAAGGAAAAAAAAAAAGGGAGGCCTGGAGCTTCTGAAACAGAAATAAAACTTGCCTGCCACTGCCAGGCAGTGTCTCCTAGCACTGCAGGATGATAAAAGTTCTCCAAACAGAGAATTCTCTTCTCTAGAACCAGATTCCTAGGTTTCAAATCCCAGTTCTATCATTAGCTGTGTAACTTTGGAAAAGTTACTTAACCTTTTTGGATCTCACTTTTACTCATCAAAAATAGGAATACTGGCCCTCCCTGGTGGCGCAGCGGGTTAAAGCACAGCACTGAGAATCTAAAGCCGGTTACGCATGAGTTCAATTCCCGCCTGCCCCAGAGGTGACCACATGGCGCGGCAGACCTCTCCTGACCCGCCCGCTGCTCCCCTCAGCAGTGTACTTCATCCATCTGCCTGTTCTGCTCCCCACTCTGTCTGTGGTGAAGCCTCTCGCCACCCCTGAGCCTCTGGCCTGTACCCCAGTTCTGTATACACAAATAAATAATAAATCTTAAAAAAAAAAAAATAGGAATACTACCTACCTCATGATTCTTGTGTGGATTAACTAAAATTAATACCTATAAATACAAATGTATACTCCTGATATCTATTTAACATGACATGTACGTAAACAACATATTCTAAGTGTGTGTTACAACCACCTACCACTGGCACCAACAAATGGCTTCAGAGTCATCTTCTCTCACCTCATACTCCATATTCCAAGAGCAGGGACTAAATTTTAGTCACTTTTGTACCACCAACATCAGTAAGACAGAGCATGCAGTAGAGGCTATTGTTGAATTGAATTCCCTCTGCTGCCCACTAGGCTGCTGACTAGACCAATCCACCCGTGGCGTGAGCGGCAGATATGACTAGCACCCCTCTCTCTCCCTATAATAAGGTAGGAAGCAAAGTTGCTGTGGGTCCGTCCTTACACTCCAAGAAACCCTAGTCTCCTCTCAGCTCCTGTCCTGGGTATTCAAAGACCTGTCGTTGTCATAAACACCCCATTCTTGGTATCTTTGTGCATGGGGGGGGTTGGGGGAGTGGTCTAGGTTTTAAGATAGATAAATAAATAGATGTAGATAGGGAAGAGGAGAGAGGACTGTCTACTGGGATAACCATTTTGCAGCTTGTTCATCTCTTACTACAGAAACTTAGAAAATCTGAAGAGGACTTGAGGGCAGGAGCATGACTGAGTAGTTTGTTCCAACATGGGTGAGGAAAGAGAAGCGCTGATTGGAAGCAATAAATAAGGAGTGGGAGTGGAAAAGAAATAAATAGCTGAGCCATTATTAGGACTGAGAGACAGAACAGACAGAAGTTGTGGAAGGCATTTGCCCCAAGAAGACTGTC